GTGATCAGTTCCCCACTCACATTAGAGGCCAACAATCAGATCAGGGACAGCTGTGGCATCATGGCAGATGGTGCAGGAGATAAACTTCCTCCCTTTTCTGAAGGCATCCCACCTTCCCTGGATTAGCGCCATCAACCTGCACCATGGAAAGGCATGACGCTGTACAAAAATGTCAAGGCACCCCTAAGGAAGCAAGAAAGCACCCCGGTTCAGAAAGGCTGGTCTAACGGTCCATAGTCTTCATGGAGTGTTCTAAGCATGCACTATTTATTATGTCTATTTACATATAAACCTGTTGCAAGCTTAGGGGTTGTGTTGCATGCTGTTAATTCATATTCCATTTGTACTAAGATTGATATATAAATTTCATTTACATATTTATATTCCAATATGTATGTATGTAGAAAATGCTGTAAGGGCCCATCTACACTTTAGGCACACTGTCTTGCACCCACAACTGCACCTAAACCATAAGAGAAAAGAAAATATGGGGCTTTAAAAGTGTCTACTGAATAATGCCAGGGAGTATGGCTAAACATGTTCCCGGCCCCACACGTCACACGCCGATACTTTGGGACGGCGTGTCTATCTGCGGAGGGAATTTCTACGGGATGGGAGACCGGGGGGCTTGGGGAAGGGAAAACAGGCTCTGGACGTATGAGAAGCCCCTATTACTCTCCTAAGGTTGCTTAAGGACAGACATGGGAGCTTGCCATTCCCGGCTACCCCTGGTATCTCCACACCTTTTGTTCCTGCCTGAATGAAGGGGTTCCCCCGGATGAGATGTCATTTCACCATTATCACCATTTATCTCAATCATGAATTCACATGCTACCTCTATTAAACCTCATGACGAAGCTACGGCGAAACGCGTCGAAGAACGGGACAAGTACAGATTTTTTGATGGAATTTGCATTATTATGATGAATAATTTGTTTATTGACTTTTTCTGTAATGAATTATTATAGAAACTATGAATTATTGCTATTATACATATTAATCTGTACGAGTTCTATAGAGGTGAAATGCCGTTCATGTAGTATTGTTTTAACATGAATATGAGATGTTTTTATATACCCTGTTAATCATGTATTTACCTTATTAAAAATTAATTTTAGTATACTGATGAGTTACTTGACATTATGTTTAGCCATACTCCCTGGCATTATTCAGTAGACACTTTTAAAGCCCCATCTTTTCTTTTCTCTTTTGGTTTACGAATGTAATCAGGGGTGTGGTGTCTCCATTTTAGTGCTGATCCCCAACTATTGCACCTAAATCATGCCGAGCGTTTGCTAAGATTGCAGATTTCATGGGTGTAATTCTCCTGAGTTCATTAAAAATGCTACTTGCTGCAAAATCGTACTATTGCAATGCAAAACATATAGTGCAGTTTTACAGCTAAACGAATGCCATTTAGAATCTGTAATGCACCCTATGTGCCTGCTCAGGGCTTCTGAGTGACAGCTTGGGATAGCCAATCATACATCAGCAGCTGTCACACAGAACATTTGCTTTAAGGGCTAGTTCACACCAGCCACACTGGTTTCTGGCCTGATTCTGGCCGTAACGCACTGGATCACATTGCGGCTGGCTCAGGGCTAATTCACACCAGCCACAGTGTGTTCCGGCCCGATTCTGGTCGGAAGCATTGTGGCCGGCTCACTTTGTTGTGGGGAGAGAGGGGTCGTGGTGGTGCATTGAAGTGAAAGGCACTGCAGCCATGCCCTCCGGTCACACGGGAACGCGTGGCACATCGATGCCTGCAGTCCGGTCCAAAATAAATGCTGCAAGCACTATTTTTTCTGACCGGACAAAAACGCAGGCATTGATGTGCCACTCATTCCCATGCGGCCGATTGCATTACGGCCTGAGGCTGTGGCTGCAGTGCCTTTCATTTCAATGCACCGCCATGCCCCCTCCCGGCCCACAACAAAGTGAGCCGGCCGCAATGTGATCCAAAGCATTCCGACCAGAATTGGGCCGGAACGCACTGTGTCTGGTGTGAACTAGCCCTTAGTGATTTGATGCTCTTGATTAGGGAATTTGCTAATAGCTGAGCATTTCTTAACTGGACCTAGAAACAGGCAACCTTATGCTTCAAAGAAGATTGCCTGTTTTTAGGTCTACTTTAAGAAATTGGCTGACTGTTTCTAGGTCCACTTTAAGAGATTTGCTGTCCCAAGTATGCATCTGTGGAAAGGGAAGGCGGGATTGATTAAGTCATAGTAGGGGGGTAAAAGGATAAATACAGTTTGTCTGAAAGTGAACTTATTCTTTAATATACTGTTGCCAAACAAGATCTAAGATTTTTAGTGATGGATACATTTTCCAAAGCTGATACAACAGGTATAAGTTCCCTTTCACATGGGCGGTCTGATCGGGTCTGCCTGTCAGTTAATGCTAGTCTAGGCCAGCCAGGTCTAAACAGATGAGCGTCAGCTACCCCTGACCCTGGCCAGGTTCGGAAAAACAGACCTGATCATGCCTGATCAGGGGTAATCTGATTTAAACGGACACATGTCTGCTTACATCTGGTTCCCCATACACCGACCTGGGGTCTGGTCATTTCAGTTTTTTCCTCCATCGCAAGACGGAGGAAAAAACTGGATGGAGATGAATGTTACAGCAGTGACATCTGATCCACTCCCGACTCGATGCATGCATGGATACCCACACCGTGTATGGATCCCCTCTTGATCAGCCCGTGTGAAAGGGGCCTAAGGATGAACTATCTGTATTTCTAGTTTTATTTATAGGTAATGGAACTGAGCACATTTACCTTAGTTTACTGTAAATATTACGTGGACAGCGCCTATAGCAGCAAGGGCAGACCCAATGCACCGCAATTATAGTTTGTTTTACTAGTTCCATATTTTGCTTTATCTGACCACCTCTGGTAGGCAAATACAGCAGCAGAATTAGGATTGTGTTTATCATCATAGCACCTATGGGCCAATGCCCAGAGTAATAGAATACATTTTGAGACGTGTGGTTATAGCCCATAATGACTTAAGCTGGCCATAGACTAATTGTATTTATACATAAAGTGATTGCAGCTGATTTCTTGGATTGACTCCTTCCACAAAAATCAACTGATAAATTGACTTTAGTCAAATGAAGAGGTGCTGACGGGGCCAAACACTGCTTGAATTTCTGCCAAGTCATCAGGAAACGACCATGGTATGGTCAGCTCTTGCTGAAAGCGTGCACATAGGATGCTGGGAGGAGTCAGAAAACTCAATCTAGTTCAAGAAACATCAAACCCTCCCTTGTTTCTATTTTTTGTTAGTCAGTACAGTTAAAAAGTAGCTGTGAATATAAAGCAGACCAGATGCTTATTTATGTGGCATAGCCCTGGCTTAGTTTTTACTAAAATATTTGCATGATACAAAGGAAGGAGCTTGTACAAATGGGCTACATCACTTAAGTTTACTTAGGGCAGAGCTGAAGAAGGAAGGAACATCTGAGGCGTTCTAGCATATGAAGCCATCGATTTCAAGCAGGCTCCTGATTGGTGGACTGTATGGTCCAACGGTAGCTCTGTACTGTATATAAAGCCGATGGCATCATGAACTCAAAAGCACATTCTGATTTTAATTTTGAAATAGTATTCACGTATAATGGTTGGGGGCCAAAGAGATGGACCATGTACCATTGTTTAATAAGAGCTGTAGACACACCACGCTGTAAACAAACTCTTAATGATCTGTTTTTTATTCTGCTGTCAATGTCACATATTAAGGGTTCACGTAACAAAACAAAAGTAATGACTGTCATCACACATCACCTGACATCAGCAGACACTTCATGGATTTGTGTGTCTTACTAAGCTTTCCAGCATGTGCGATACAAAGCAGAAGCTACTGTCGGTTAAACAATCAATGTTGTATGATATGCGTGTTTCCTTTGTGAAATCTTTCAAAAATCCTTAAGTTAGAGATAATGATATCCAGCAGCAACGGAGTGCAAAATGCAAGTGAATGGATTAAAGGTGTGTGGGGGTGATTGCTAGGAGTTGGGAGTGGATGACAGGAGTTAATAAAATGTACAAATAAAAAGTATATACTGTGGCTTTTATTTTAAAAATAGTATGGGTTCTGCCTACTGCATTTTTTTGTATCCATGAAAAAAGCATTAAAGCGCATGTCACACATTGTTGCCATGCACTATACAGTGTATATCAGAGTGCATCCTGACGGACGTCAATGCATTTCGGCATGCATTGACATACATCTTAATACACATTGCAAGGCGTGCTAACGTGCACTTTGATGTGTTTCTACTGATTTCCATTGATAAAACCACATCAGGCAAAAACACAGAGGCATAAAGAAAACTGGCACACATTTCTTCTAGGAACTGATACTACATAGATGTTTGGACTCTGGGATAGTAAGCCCTCAGGGGCAGGGTCCTCCTTACCATCTTGTCATGAA